TATATTCTTTTTCTGGCTTTAAATTTCAAAGACATGGTTCCTGCTGCCAGCTCCCTCAATTATTAGTCAAACCTTCTAATTAAAAACATCTCTACAACCATATTTTCTCTCAATTTTGTTTGAGTCTGTCTTTTTCTCTTTTGCAAGGGGATTTTGACATTTTCCTTTTTCTATTGAGAATTAAGGCCCCAACTGATCTGTCTAAAACAGTTGACTTTTTAAGATGGTGAAGTCTTGACATAAATACATATAGAAGTAGATCATGACGGGTGGTTGAGCAGAAAAAAGAAAAAAAAGCACCTTTAATTGGAAAAAAACAGGCTGGATGGATCTTGGTTGGTTTGGCTTCATTAAACTAAAACTAGAGATAAAAGGCAAAACTTCTAATTAATGACTGATCCATAAGCTCAAAATAACGACATCGACATTTATATCAAATCAATAAATAAATTTTTTTCATATGCAAAGTTATCACTGAATCATGAGCAAGTAATATATATTCTGAATTTTTACTTTAATATTTGAATTACCTAAATTTAGTTTAAACATCAGGTAAATATTTTTCACGGAATATGATCAAATCTTGTAACCAAAAATACAGATCCCTAGAACAACGGTCGTAGGTCCATTTGGGAAATATATTATAGGGAACCCCATAAAAGACACCAGCAAAGATGGTGATTTATTAATTAAAAATAAAATACTAAATAAAGAAATAGAGTGAAAAAGAAACGTACAGTGTTGTACTTCTAGATAAGTATATTGACATAGTATAAGCTAATTTTTGAAGTCGAGCATAATTTGTTGTGGATATAACTTTTATTTACTGTTTATGTCCTTTAAGTGAACACTTTATATGTACATGGTAGATCTTCCATATATTCAATTCAAAAGACATTAAAAGAATGATTTTGAGTCACGAGTATGAATAGCCGCCCTTCAACCCTAAAAAGAAAGTTTTTTGCTAAAAAAATAATTTGTCCAAATGTCTACTTTTGACTACAAAGTTCTGCAAGCGGTGAGAACTGAAACTGGAAAAGAAGCACAAAGATATTCCTGCTATTTTGTTTTTCAAACATGACAATAAAATAAAAAAAGAGAGTATAAATTGTACTCAATCTAGGAAATATGAATGCAATACACTCAATATAAATATAATCAAATGATATCTTTGTATAATATCCTAGTTTCACGTCAAAATGAAAGGTCAAACTAATTTCATCTGGACTAAATCAACATATATCAACTCTGTTAAATATAAAATTCTTTTTTTACTTTGAAATCGTGCAGAAATACCTAATTGCTTATCTTTCTTAGTTGTAGTTGACGCATAATAAAATTTAAAATTAGTGAAATATCATTGTATTTAACTTTTGAAAAATAAAAAAGATAGATAATTTAGATTGCAGAGTACTTGAGTAATGTAATGTCTTTATAATGCAAATTTAACTTTAAAAATTAACTTATAAATAAATGATTGTCCAAGACCAAAACCTTATCCCCAACGGGTATTGGAACTCAACGTAGTGTTGTCACTTTAAATGAGGTATGATTTTAAGAGAAAAATGCCAAGAAATAATAGAACAACTTGAAATTAGAAATTTATATAGGGTGTGTTCAGTTATATCAAGTACGCAATATAATTTAGATAAATAATATGGAGATGGGTTGGGGAGGTAAGCGTGTTGGGTGATGGAAATTAGTGGCGGTACTAGAATTTTTAATAAGGGGTTTAAAATTTGAGAAGTAAACATACCATAGTGAAAGGGAGTTCGATATCTATTATATATATTTAAAAAATAATTCTAATCATATATAAATAGTAATATTTTTCATCAAAGAAGATTCAGATGAACCGTAAGTATATGCTGCCCTCCACCCTTGGTGGGGATCACGAGATGAGGGTGAAGATGAAGCTAAGTGTCTTAGAGCCTAGAGCAGTGGAAGGATATATTCTATGTGAAATGTCACTCATAGAAATTATTTTTGCTATTTTTATTAGAAAGCTTATTTTATTTGATTTTTAGAAATTTTTTTTTTTTAAAAAAATATTTTTCAAAATATCTGAGCATGTAAATCTGAGAAATTTGAAATTCATATCGGCCACACCCCTAACTACTTATATTCTTTTATTTCATGGCGCTGACGGTTGAAGAATAATCAATAATCAATAATAAACACCGCAGGATATGAAGAGTTGTTTTTATAAATAGAGACACTTTACCAGAATACGTACAGAGCCTCTCTCTCTCTCTCTCTCTCTCTCTCTCTCTCTCTCTATATATATATATATATATATATATATATATATATATATATATATATATATATATGTATGTATATATATAGAGAGAGAGACTTTGAAAAATATTTGATATCATAAATTCGTCGGCATTACAAAATTCATTTTTAAATGACGTGCATTGTGCGATGTTTTATATTTATTATTTAAATTATTAATTAACAATTTTATTTGAAAAAACTATGCGATTAAATAAATTTATATTACTTAATTATTCATCATAGTTATAGTTTTCTATAATTGCCTCCTGCGGCTAATATTATACTTTAATTATGTGGGTTGACTTCGAGTTTATATAATTAGTTATGTTCGTATATGCATAATTCGCCAAAATATACAAATACATATGCATAATACATAATTATCTAACCGATATACATATACAATTCACCTCTCTCCCACTCTTTGTCCTCTCTCGCTCGTCTCTCTCCTCCCTCTTCCAATCTCGCTCCCTCCCTCCTCTCTCTGTCAATCTCGCTTGCCATATATATATATACAATAATCTTATCGATATACATATTTAGGATACCTCTATCCCATTCTCTGCCCTCTCTAGCTCGTCTCTCTCATCCCTCTCCCAATCTCTCTCACCTCCCTCTTCTCTTTGTTAATCTCGCTTGCCATATATACGAATATATATATATATATATATATAATATACAATAATCTTATCGATATACATATACAATTTACTTCAGTCGCACTTTCTACTTTCTCTCGCTCACCTCTCTCTTCCCTCTCCCAACCTCGCTCGCCTCTCTCCTCCCTCCCCCAATCTCGCTTGCCATATATACAAATGTATATGTATAATATACAATTATCTAACCGAAATACATATAAAATTTACCTCTCACCCACTTTTTGCAATCTCTCACTCGCCTCTCTCTTCTCTTTCATAGCTTCACTCGCCTCTCTCCTCTCTATAACATATAACTATAAATTGTAATTATCAAATTATAAATATGAAGAATAATTAAAAAAAAATTGAGTAACTATACGTGAAAATATCAAAGTTGTGAATAATCAAATCAATATAACTTAAATTTTTCTTATTCCTTTAGATATAGGTAAGAAATTGAGGAAGTACTTTCCATAAAAGAGTGGCTAATAAAGCGTGTTATCCGTTACAATAGACTTTTCCCCTATTTTTTTCAAAAATCTTATCCAACATACATTTTTTAATTATATATATGAGTTTAAGTCACATAGCTTATGTGTAATCTTCTCAATTTTATAATGAAAATCAATGTAATCTGTCCCACTTTTATAAACAAAATCAATGTATGCTCCGTTATTTTCTCCATCTTCTTATTCAAAATTAGCCAATGTCAAGACATAAATGAGAGGTGATTTGTCCTTCTTGAATTATCATAATGTTTTTTCAACGGATACTCATCAAAAATATTTACAAAATCTTATTAAATAATTATATTTAGTTTATAATTCTATATATCCCTTATTTATTTCTATTTGTTTATCCTAATAATTATTGAATTTATTCAATTATAATTTTTATAATATTTTAAGTAGTTAATGTAATAAAATATTCGAATCGATAAATATAACTTTAATTCCAGAAGGTGTTAGTGTCCCTTTTATGTGCATGACCATGAATTATTTGAAAATTCAAAACAAGGGTCCACCAAACTCCACTCCTTGCGCCATTGATCATGCATCAAATCAATCTTCTTCATCATCTTCATTATATATATTTATGAGTTAATTTGTATTAGGAGGAAAAATACAAGTGTAAGTTTCAGTCATTTTCTCTAAAAGAATGGAAATGGAAATTGAAGCGGATGAATCATTTAAGCAGGCCGGAGTTATTCCGTTCAGATGGGAAATCCGACCCGGAGTACCCAAGCTTCAACATTCACAACTACCATTAATCAAACATGACGATCCACATGTAGCAGCTGAGAACAATCGGAGCCGGCCAATTCCAGAAACCCCACGTAGGCTTAAACCTCCACCGGCGGCTGATTTCAATTTCCAACAACCAATTGAGGAGCCCCGAACCCGATCCTTCCGGTCAGCTCCACGGGCACGATCAGATAGGCATGTTTTGAATCTATTGACCCGACCCGCAATGGGAGTTGCCTCAGATTGGTGCTTCCCGTCTCCATTGCTGAAGCGAACAACAGAGAAGAATACGAAGAAGAAGAAGAGTCATCAGATTGGACCCAGACCCGAACCCGATTACTTGTCGGATCTAGAGACAGTTTCTAGATGGTCCGTATCTAGCCGGAAGTCAATTTCTCCTTTTCACGATTCACTTTCCTCTTCGTTTTCGTCACGTGAGTCGTCACCTCGACGACCAGTGAGCGATGCTGATTGGGTTGGTTTTGCTCTGTTTTAGAACCAACGCATTATCTCTACATTTCCTAAAATTATTACTTCGTAGCAGTTTATATGATATAGTTTGAATTCGAGAGTTAAACAGAATAAGTTTATATGATATAGTTTGAATTCGAGAGTTAAACAATTTGGTAATACTTATAAGGCTACACTATTAATGACTTGTACTGAAAAAAATGGTTCAGCGTGCATGGTTTTTTTGAAATAGTTTAATCTTTAATTTCCATACTATCAATAATTTTGGTTCAACTCTTCTGATCTTCTTAAATCAATGCCCAATTTATGGAGAAGAAATACAACATTTACTAATAATTGAGTAATTCTTAATGATAACAAGTTTGCATATCCCATTATACAAAATTCAACAAAAGCATCAACATAGAAGAAATTAGAAGAGTATAGTGTTGTGCCCTCTCCCATAATTTCCTAGACATGGAAACAGAAGGACCTGGTTTACTTGCTACACTTGTTTCTTTAGGACAATGGTAGTTACACCTACTCGGACGTGTAACTCTGTAAACGCCAGTGGTTGTTAGCATATGAATATCTTTTCTATTGTCTTCCCCAAAAGACAAAACGTATCCTATAGCAGGCATAACATCCTCTGCAATGGATTCACAATGTATTGGAGAATCACGCGCACACCTGTATGGTGTTTTTGAACTTGTAAAGTTTCTACTATTTTCAGTACCTGACCATATTCCATCTGGATATAAGTCTATGTACAAGTACCTACAAAATTCGATTCAAAATCAACTTGAGCTAATGAGACAGTACATATATACAGAGTTTCAAGTTTGTAAGCTAAGAAAAAAATGCAAACCTTCCATACAGACAAGGATCAGTTTGAGACCTGTAGAAGTATCCACCAATTATAGACGCGGAACCAATTGTCTTACAAGTTTCAGAGTGGTTGTATCCCATGACCGGGAACCTGAGACTGTTGGAGCTAGAATTAGAAATGCTTCCTTCTTGGGCATTTGCTGGTTTGAAGAGATAACGGCCTTCGTAGACGGGCCATCCATAGTTTCCACCTTTTGTTATCATATCTATCTCTTCATACATGTCCTATAAGTTTCATGAAAGGATAAATATCTTTAATAATTTATTCAAAGAGACTTAACATCTGTCCTGTTTTTGCTTTTGAACTTATCAAGATTTCCCTTGAGCTCAATGACTATGCTTACTGTTTGTCTAAAAGATAGTGGAGTTCCAAACCTGTCCAGAATCTCCACACATGAAGTAGGAAGGCCTTTCTGAATCGAAACTACAACGCCATGGATTTCTAAGACCTAAAGCCCAAACTTCAGGCGCTAATTGCTTGTCATTGTTGTACGGATTATCTCTTGGTATTGAGTAATTTCCCCAAAGCCCTCGATCATGCACTTCGTTTCCTGTTAGTAATTAAATGAGAAAATTGCAGTGTTCAGCTGTTATAGTCCAAAAAACATGCAGTCTCATCTATCAGTTTGTTTCCATGTTATGACTCAAGATTCAAAGGTTTACTCGAACAGGATAAGTTTGCCTAAAACTTTTCCTGGAAATAAAAAGGTAAATCACATAATAAGTCTACACAATATATCAACATTTGATCAGCATACTTTGATCCACATCAATCCTCAAGATCTTTCCGAGCAACGATCTTTTGTTTTGTGCAAAATTGTAAGGGTCCCCTCGCTGCGTACCACTACCAGTCATAACATACAAAAATCCATCTGCAGGGCCGAAAAGAATCTGTCCTCCATAAACTCCCCTATGTGGTAGTCCCATTGTAAATATCCTCTTCACTTCCAATGTCTTAGAACTTTCTACCTGTCATGACGATGATCAAAGTATGCAATCAAGAGAATTTCAATATAGAAAAATTTGAAATTCGTATCGTATAAAGCAATAAAAGGATGTATACCAAGAAAGGTGTTGTTGCAGTAGCATTTGCTGTGAACTCTGCTACTACAATTTGATACTGGCATGGTGCAATGCCACTGTCTATTGGAAGTGTTGCTGGATCACAATCAATTTCCAAGTTACACGAGCATCTACCTAAACATCCTGAGTGTCGCAACTTATCACAGTGGTACGAAACAAAGAAACGACCATTACTTACAAAATTAGGATGGAACTCCATTCCCATTACCCCGAATTGCAAACCAAAAAGCACGTGATCAGTTATATCTAGAAAGGGCTTCGATTCGTCAATTTCCAACACTCCATTAGATCCATCCTCAGGAACATTGGCAATCCATACTTTACCTTGTTGATTCCACAAAAATACGCGGTTAGACCCATCAGGATGTGGAGCCATGCCAATATAAGATCCGTTTTCGATTTTTTCAAGACAAACACCATTTGGAGCTTGACGAGTTTCACGAATACCATATGTTTGAGCATCATTTTTTAAGTCCTCTACAAAGTCACATCAAACATTTCAACATCAATAGAACAAAAATAGTAAACGATACTACACATAAAAGAGTAATCATAGCGCCTTACTTAACTGCATGCTCAAAGTGCAGGATACCACAAAACCATAAAGCAACAACAGATTCAGGGCAAAAACACTGCAGACAACAACCATAGCAGAAATTGACAGAGGAATTGAGGAACTCCAATTTATAAATACGAATGACAGATCGGAACGCCACATATATACATACGATATTATGCACAATATTCCGATAAAGGCCTTATTGATCTGAACATTGTATGTTAATAGAAGACTACTGTAGAAGTTTAGGATGTGAGTAGTTCCGTACATTGGGATAATCTCAGTGTATCATATGTCAATCTCAATGCTATTTTAATAGTAACTTTGATTTTTGTGTGCATGGAAGCCAGAACCTTTATATCCGAAGTTTAATTCAGTAGCGGAATCAAAAAATTTACTTAAACACATAAAAAAAAAAAAATTGAACATCTGCACGTTATATATATCTAAAAAAAAAAGTAATTTTAAACTAACTAATATATATAGTGTAGTTCTTTTAGAACCTTCCATTCGTTTGGCTCCTTTGTTGGGCTGATTACGTTTTCTTATGTTATATATATAAGTACGATTTACTACTAGAAAATTGCAAATTGAAATACTCAAAACACAAAAATTAGTGTGGACTCTTGTCTGGTAGGAACAGACAAATGTACTAGCTAGGAAGCATAATTACAAGCAAAGTAATTATGTGCATACTATACATTAATTAATATAAATAAAATTATATACCCCTATTTTAAATTCTCTATTTAGTACAGTAATATATATAGTAGGAGATTTTATAACTAGAGTGAAATGAACGTAAGCGTTTGTATTAGGATTTAGAGGTGTGCATTATTTGAATTAAATTGAAAAATTAAATTTAAAACGAATTTTAATTTGATTTGTTTTATTTTGTTTGATTTTGGATAAATAATTTTTTTAATTTGATTTTTGAATTTAGAAATGTAAAAACCAAGAAATATTATATATATATATAGAGAGAGAGAATTGAAGTTGAAGATAACTAATTTCGTCCCTTTTTAGTTATTACCGTTCATTGATTTAGTTTATATTTATATTTGGAGATCAACATATATTTTAAGTTTTGCGTTTTTAATTTTATTAATAATTTATGTTACAAAGTATATTTAGTATATTTAATAATATTACTTCTATTTGTATATGATTATTTTTACCGCTTTCAGATATAATTTCAATTATGCTATTAATTATTGACATGATCGAATAGTCAAATAAAAAAATCCATATCATTTGGTTTAAATTGAAAAGAAAAAATTTAAACCTAACCAAATATATTTCGATTTAGATTGAGTAAAAATTGTAGAAGTAAAAAGTGAAAACAAATAATATAAAACCAAACAAAAAAAAACTAAATACACACCCCAGTCATGTCAGTTTGTATCTAACTACATGGACTTAGAAAAATCATTTGTGCTGCTTAATCACAAGCCTGTTCGAATAATAAGTTTTAATTTGTTGTTATAATAATTATTTTTCACTATTTATAATATTTCTATCATTTACTGTCGAAAAGAAAGAGTAATAAATACTAATCCTGTAAATTTTATTTGAAATACATTACAAAGAAAATTTTCCTCATACATTCAATAAGGTCGCATACCAGGTATCTTACTAAAATTAGTGGCCTAAAAGCCAAATTATAGTAAGATGCAGGGGCAGATATACGTTGAATCATCCAAAAATCCTTCGTTAAAAAATTATATTATATAAACATAATTAAAATTTTAATTTATATGTATATATATTATTGACAACCCCTGAACATACACCTAAGGCGTAGGCGTTTAGCTCAGTGGCGTTAGGATTTCAGGAAATTGCTCTACTGCTCGCGAGGTTGCGCGTTCGAATCTGAGCAACGTGTTCAAATCTGAGCAGAGACATTTTTTATCAGCTTATATTTTAGTCGTTTTAATTTTAAAAAATATAATAATGCAATCAGAAAACTATGTGTAGTTCCAAAAAATTAAAATATTGGTTGGAAATTTAGAATTTATTAGTTTAATTCCTAATTATAAAGTCAAATATTGAAAAACTCTATAATAATGCAATCAGAAAACTATGTTTAGTTCCAAAAAGGTAAAATGCTGATTGAGAATTTAGAATTTATTAGTTTAATTTCTAATTATAAGGTCAAATATTAGAAAACTATTTTCTTCTTGATTCAATTGTTTAATTCGACCCGTTTATATCTCATTCGACCTGTTTATTTGTGATTATTATTTAAGTGATTTTATATACGGATCCAAGAGGGCAGATGCCCGATTCCCCCACCCATTACTCATTCCTTCCCGACTCGATAGGGATTGCAATCTCGAGAGAGGGAGCAACAATTGACCTCCGACAATAAGTAGATGGGGTGGGATACGATGGATACAGTGAAATCAATTCTTATTCCGCACTCCCTCTCACCGGCCTCAAACATATATAAATCATGAATTCTTCAGAGCGGGCCGACAGGCCAGGCATACGGGGACCGTCGAAGAAGTGCCTCAACGATATATATATATATATATATAATTTAGGGTTATCTTCATATGTTATTAAATACGAGTAATTGGTGTATATTCTTAAAAGACATCAAACGTTTAATTTTACATAGTAATATATTATTTATATAAAAATAAATTAATTCTAGTTAATAAGAGGTTAGTCAATTGCTTTCAATACATTATTTGATATTATTGTAAAAACTTTATCTATTAATATGAAAGATTTAAGTTGTTTAATTGAAAGTTCTAAAATTTCTGATAAGAAGTAGATAATTTTTTTTGAAAAAATTAATTTTTCCTTGTGTTCTTTTATTTATAATGTTCAATATCATTTCTAATAAAAATAGACACAACTTCTAAAACTTTTAGCTTTTAAGTCAATACCAAAAGTTAATATAAACAAATTGTAGCTAGCATTGCCTTGTCTCTAACCGGAACAAACCGGAAACCTTAGGTTTGGGCATAATAACAGTAACAAAAACAACAATTGTCTTAGCTTCTTTTTCAAATTACATGTTTTACCTTTATTTTACAATTTTTCTTATTCGAAATTTGACACTCTTAATCCTGCACAAACTAGATCAAGTTAGTATTTTTTCCCTTTAAATTGAATATTTCAGAATCCTAGACAATTTGAGAGATTTGAAATTTTTTTTAAAATATAAAAGTTAAAGAAATTCAAATGACTGTTCAAATAAGAAGACACTGAATCTAACAAAAACAGATTATTAAATGTTTTCATCGCCAAACAATCTTATTTCGCACAATACAATTTACTTGGTACTGTTTCTTAATAATGATTCAACTTCTAACTTCAATAATATTTCCAATATTTATTAGAAAATGGTGATATGCATAATAATATTTGTCAAATTTTGAACGCAATAAACATGATTTTACATAAAATATTTTCCAAATAATTCGAGACATTATATCTCAATCTGGCAATTGGTGGGAGAGCGGAGTTCGAGAAGGAGGACAACACTATTGTTAAACGCTAAACAATATAGTATATTGAATCTTAGCACATTATGTAATACCATAAAAGTTGCTTATCATATATTCTATGTTGATTATTTATTTTTAATTTTAATCAATATTTGTAGACTTTGAAACAAGAATTAATGGTTTTTGTCTTTTTGATCTACACTTATTAATTTAAGGTTATTTTTTTAATTCTTGAATACTAATTATTTTTAGTATACATTTTTAAAAATATCAAACTTCACATAATAATAGTATTATTTATAGAAGTACAAATTCGTTCTAGTTAACAAAAGGTTAAACATTTAATTACAATACATTACTTTGCATGATGTAAAAACTTTATCTATTAATATGAAGATTTAATAAGATTATTATTTATAAAAGTATGGATTAATTCTAGTTAACTAGAGGCTAGTCATTTATTTGCAATATATTAACTTGGATGTTATTGTAAAAACTTTATCTATCAATATGAAGATTTGAGTTGTTTAATTAAAACTTTTAAAATATTTATAATAAAAAAATAGATCAGTTTTTTTAAAAATTAATTAGTAAATTTTGTATGTTTTGTTTATAAGGTTCAATATTATTTCTCATAAAAAGTATAGAATTTCTAACTCATGGATTTTTAGTTTTTAAATAAAAAATCAATTCAAACAAATTCTAACTAGTCTTACATTTTAATTTTTAAGTTGAGCAACTTAAAAATTCTAAATAAATAAATAAAATATACACTTATTCCTCTGCTTAATTAAAGCGTAACAAAATATTCTAAATCAGAACAAAATGAGTGTAAATAATATTAACAAAACGAGCATCTTAGGTAAACGTAATAGGCTAATAGCACTAACAAAAACAATTGCCATCTCAAATTACATATTTTATCTTTATTTCAAAATTTTCCTTATCGGAAATTTGAGATTCTTAAGTTACCATTTTTGCCCTTATTTTGTATATTTTGGAAAGTTGAGATTCTCATTTCTTTAAAAGCATTGTAGAGTTGGATCAATTAATTGGTCACATATCCTAAATTTCTTCACTTAATAACTTTCTATTGAGCAATATTGTTCTCTGTTCAAAGTTGTTGAAAATGGAGAATTTACTAACCTTACTTACTACTATAGTCTAGAGTATGTATTAATAAAATCTATCTGGCGTTTCATAATTTTATTTGAAATTATAGTGAATTATATTTGGATTTATATAAAAAGACAAGGTAAATGATTTATTATACTGTGCGTCCAATTTTATTTTATGGATGGTGGAATTGGATTTCCTTTTCGTCAATTTTTATGGACAAATAAATTTCACTTCCTTTTTAAAATTAATCCAGCCAAAGAAAAATCAGGCAAACATGTAAGTATGGTAGTTTAAATTTTAACTGAAATTGATAATTTAAATAAAAAATGTTATTTGTATAACAATGTATAG